TACTATGTATTGAAACTAATTGGTTCACAATATATAACATGATATTACTTATATGTGCACGTACTTATGTTTATAGACTTCTTTTGGTAAGTGTCATCGAGTACATAATCAAACTTACTATGGTGATTTAAAATTAAGACAATATACACTTGTATAGATAAAACTTTCGTGTTTGTTCCAATAATAGTCAAATTTAGGGAAATATCACTTTAGCCACTTTCGTCCAATACTTTAACGATGTTATCTAACATAGTGACTGGACTAACATCAATGGTTGACGTGGCATATTAAGAAATAATGACAGGTGGAAAATCATTAAAATTTTTATCCTTTAATTATAATTAAATTAAATAAAAAATATAAAAAAAAAACAATCTCAGTCCCACCACCGCCTATTCACCTTCCCATCTTCTCTGATTTTAACTCTCTCCCTCTCTCAGCCTGCTTCTATCTCACTGGAAGGAAGCTTCATCCCCTCTATTTCCCACCGCCTATCGGAACTCGAAATAGTTATAGGGTCCTGCCGAGAAGGACATTCGTCGAGGAGGTGGGTGCTGCCGTGCTGGAGTGTTGGAGAGTGGAAACGGCGGATTAGGGATTGGTGGAGTGTTTGTCGAGGAGGAGAAGGCGGACAAGGGATTGCAGCCTCGGCCCGAGTCCGATATCCACGCCTTTCCCCTTTTTTTTTTTTGCCTGAAGTGCTCAAAACGGCGTCGTTTTGGTTTGGTGGAGACATATTTCTCATTGGCTTAGAATCGGATAAAAACGGTCCAAAAACGCGATTTTATCCGATTTCACCGATTTTAACAATGTTACAACGCTTTTGACCGATTTTGAGTGAAAAACGATTTTATTAGTGATTTGAAACGTTTTCCTTCCCTAGAAACTTAAAATCGTACGATTTTACGCTTTAAAGCGCGATTTTGACTGCACTGGCGGCTGCTGTGTGAGATGTGGGAGGGACGGGATGGGTTTTGTCTAGGGTTTCAGTGGGTTGGGCGAGGGTTGTGGGTGAGAAGAGTGTGGGCTTTGTGTGATGTGGGATGGGATGAGGGTTTGGGTTTTGTAGGCTTAGGTATTGTATGGGCTGAGCTAGGATTTCAGTGGACTGTGGGTAAGAGAAGGGCTTAAGGTTGGGCTGTAATGGGCTATTTCAAAAATCGGTTCGGAAATCGAAACTTCGGTTTTGTTGAAAGAACTCTGCTTTCCGAAATACCCATATGTCTCTTCCGAATTTCAAACCGAACACTATTATTTTGGTTTCGGTTTGGTTTAATTTGGTTTCGGTTCGGGTTTACCGAACCGGATGCCCACCCCTACATCACGGGGGAAAATCCCTCAAATCCCTCTCCCAATCCTCCTTCATTCAATTATGATTTCCAAATACAGGGCCTTCTCTCTTTCAATCGACAAACACAATGGAGAGAGAAGGAATAAGAAGACAGCTAGAGCTAGGTTCGTCGACCACTTCGTTCGCCGACCATTTCCACTTCGCCCGCCTTGCTCCAGCTGGTTCCATAGGCGAAGCTCGGAAGATTTGCATCCAACTCTGACTATTATAAATAGTTTCTTCTATTGAACCTTGATGGGGGGAAAACAGATCTTATATTCGAGCTTTATCCCGAAAAACCCAGATCTGCTTTGTTGCATTTCTGTGCAAATGTCAAATGAGCAAAGAAGTGGAAGACTTCACCTACCCTCTTTATCTGCTTCCTTATTTAGTTTTGTCCCAAAATAATCTCTACTTGGCAAGAGAAAGAATGGGCATGTGAGCCTCAATTCCATATGTCTAGAGCCAAGACCGTAGAATGAAGCGACGCCAAAGATTTCAGGGAGCACGCGATGGGATCCTAAACGCAAGGGAAGCGAGCATCACGCCGCTTTGCCGATTCACTGAGCCGGCGGGGAGGATTTTTTTTCCTATTGTACCTCAGATGGCCACCGTCGCTACTGTCGGGAGTGCCTATTGGAGAAGAAGGGCACCTCAGATATGAAAACAGAAGGAGGCGTCGGCGACAGAGAGGAGGAATCGACGACGGGGTGGAGAGGAGGAATCGACGACGAGGTGGAGCTGAGGGGAGGAACCCTAGAAATTGAGGGGAAGGAAAATGAAATGTTTAGTCAGTCCCGTTGGTGGAGCTAGAGATGTATAAAAAATTAATATTAATTTTATTTTAATATCTGACGTGGCGTCTACGTCGTTTAGTCAGACTCGTTGGCGCTGACGTGTCTTCCATGTGGCGGACATATCAGCTATCCGTCCACTTAACTGACAGGGACGTTAATCCCGCTAGATGTTTCAAGGAAAATGGCTAGATTAGTCAACAATTTTTTAAAAGTGTGGCTATGTCTGTGTATTTTTCAAAAAGTGGCTATATTTGTCAAAAGCGTAAAAGTTAGGGCTATACAGGTGTATTAAGCCTTAATGAAACTGTTAAAGTATCTCACGGAAATGGCTATATTTGTCCAACACCTTTTACAAAATCTTGCTATAAGTGGTATTTCTCCAAATTTTGTTATTATTATCACAAATTCAAAAAATTTGACTATACAAGTGTATTTTGCCTAAAATTAACCATAAAAATCTTACAAACTTGTCCACAATGTTGTAGTTCAAGTGATTATTGGGTTGAACTCACATGAGCGAGGTTTTAGGTTCAATTCCTCCAATCTTTTCAAAAGACTCTAAGTTCCACCCGAATAATAAAAACATTTGTACGAACTTGGAATATCTCATACATATCCCCATATTTCAAGTCAATTATAGTTTTGGCACGAACTTACCGTTGAGCTTATTAGGTGATGGAGTTGGTAAAAAGTTTCATGGCCATGCATGGCAGCCGGTAAATAATAACGTGCATGGGATCGGGAAAAGATTAAACAACAGTTCCACCGGACCCATGGAGCTTTGGAGTCCCAGACACCTCTATTGGGGAAAATTATCGAATCCCGGTAGTAGTTTGAGTCTAAAATAAATAATAGTGGTTTGTGAGATCCAATCCTGGGACATCCTTGTTATTAGATAATATATTTTTCATTAAACTACAACTCATCTCTTGTTATAATTTGAAGATACGTATAATTATAAACATATGAATCTATTCCCAATATAATAACAAAACCTAAAATTAAACACGACTCCTTTATTCAACCAACTCCTTTCAGCTTTGGGTTACATCAATAGCAAGTTTCGAAATTGACTAGGCGATCAGCTTGTGAACGATTGTCTTGTAGGATATACTGAAAGAGATTTGCACTGAGTGCATTTTGCAATATTTTCATTATATGAAAACACGACGTGACCTTTTGTTATAACTTGTATTAATCGAATATTTTTTTCATTGAATACTAGTTGGATAATTTACTTATTTAAGAATTATTTAAATATTGTTTTTTAATTTTATTTTGAAAGAGGACACACGACATAAAATTTATGAATCCGCTAGTGGTCCCACATATGTATAATACCCATGGTTTAAAAAGGCACGCTTAACCTGACGCCTTTTTGAACCTTGATAATACCACGATAAGAGCAAGAACAGAACAACACCAAAGGATTTGATTTCTTGGTAAAAGATTAAACAAAAAAATTAGGGCAAATCTGTGTTTCATTGATCCCCAACTAATCTTTGTCGTTTTGATGAAGCACTGAACCGAACGTGTTCGTTGGTTTTGTTTTGATAATTGTGATGAGGACGTGTTGATTTAGCTAAAGCTAGCTAGGTTGTAATTTCGGTTTCTCCAGGCATGCAATTATCCCTCACAAAGTTGACTAAAAAGATTCTTTGACGAACAGCAGGGAAAAGAAAAACAGTGTGTTCCTGATCATTCATCATCATCAAGTTTATTAATTATCCTTCCAGTTTATTGTCAAAGTCAAAGACATATATATATATATATATATATAATAGCAGAGGAATTAGGAATGGTGTTGGTAAGGGAAAGGGAAGATGGGGCGGGGCGGTTCGATCATAATACCCCCCACGATTCCTCCAATACCAAATCAATTGCCCCTCCTAATTGCCACAAAAATAAGCAATTTGAATTATCATATGCAAAAGTACTAGTGTATTCCTTTTATCATTAAGCAGCAACGAGTTATTTCACCGCCAAATATCTCGTTAATAAGATCATTGGGTTAGATTATCTCCCTCAAATTCATCATCCAAATACCCATACGTGACAATCCAGTTAATATATGAGGGAATACGAATGGAAAACACTTTTAAGTAGATAAATAGAAAGTAAAGAAAGAAACAGTTGCTTGAGAGTTGGAGGATCTTGTATTTAGTGGTAGCTACGTTCAATGTAGTCAAAATCGCGTTTTAAAGTTTAAAAACTTACGATTTAACGCTTCTAGGTCACCAAAAAGCTTCTACACATAATTTTCGTTTTTGTAACAAATGTAGTTAACAACTACGCTTTAAAGCTTAAAAGCTTACGGTTTTACGCTTCTGGATCACCAAAACGCTTCTACGTAGAAATGCGCTTTTGACTACATTGGCTACGTTGCGACGAAATATGACCCTAAGTGAAACCTAAAAGTGAGAAGTACAGAGAAATATTAGATGACAGTTTAAATATAGTGAGTCAAAAGTGGGATGAAACAATATCGTTTGTGTGCTAATCTTCTTTCTTCTTCTTTATCAGACCGAAGCGTTGAGGAAGGAAAGATGCTTTCAAATAAAAAAAGCCTTGATTTCGGCAAAGGTAACTCTTTATTGAGTTTCAGAAGTGGAAGTTACGATTAAAAAAAAAAGCTATGTTGAATGTTGTTCGAATAATACTCATGTTAAATGGATTATATGACACATTGAAACAAATGAAATAAATATATGCATGTTGTTGCTTCTCGTATCACCAAACTCCTAGCTACCCACCCCTATATAAAGCCAACCCATTGTCCTGTTTTGGCAATTGCACCCATCCCACTCCTCTTTCTCTGCTAGCATAACTAGCAATCCTAGAGAGAACCAAGTTCCCATCCTTAAAAAAAAAGTTTGAAAAAGATGGGAAGGTTTGGTTTCTATGGGGCATTACTCTTCATTCTTGGCCTGGTTTTAGCCAGCAGCATTGGCTCTGCCCATGCTCAATTGAAGATGGGTTTCTACTCCAAGAGCTGCCCAAAAGCAGAGAAGATAGTGCAGGACTATGTCAATAAACACATCCCCAATGTTCCTTCTCTGGCTGCTACTTTCATCAGGATGCACTTCCATGACTGCTTCGTCAGGGTGGGTTTTTCTTAATGTTTCTCCTTTGTTTCGAGACCCTCGAGTAATGGAGCTTAACTGAACTCCTTTGTACAAAAACAGGGCTGTGATGCATCGATCCTTCTGAACACGACTTCAGGGGAGCAAACTGAGAGGCAGTCCCCGCCGAATCTTTCGCTCCGAGGGTTCGACTTCATCGACAGGGTGAAGAGCCTGGTGGAAGCTGCGTGCCCTGGAGTTGTGTCATGTGCTGATGTCCTCACTTTGGTCACCAGGGACTCCATTGTTGCCACCGTAAGCTTAAGCGGGAAAAAAAACGAACTTGTTCTGAAATGGAAGGCAAAAAATAAACTCCATTTTCCTCACTTTAATTTGTTTTGTTTGACAGGGAGGTCCTTCTTGGAAAGTACCCACTGGTCGAAGAGACGGCTTGATCTCCCGATCATCAGAGGCACTCAACAACCTTCCTCCTCCATTCGCCAACATTAACACTCTCAGAACTATGTTCGCCAGCCAAGGACTCGATTTGACAGACCTCGTACTGCTTTCTGGTAATGCTACGTACGACTATGTGTATACATTGTGACTCTGTTTACACATTGTGACTCTGTTTAACCGTGAAATTGCACGATTATAAAAAAAAAAAATTGAAATTACATAGACATATACATTCATCAAGAACAATTTTGATCCCTGTAACTCAAGCTGTTCGCGATATTCTCAGGTGCTCACACCATTGGCGTCGCTCACTGCTCGTCCTTCACCAACCGTCTCTACAACTTCACCGGCAGGGGAGACGAGGATCCAGCTCTGGACAGAAACTACGCGGCCAATCTGAAGGCGAGGAAGTGTCGAAGCATCAGCGACACCACGACGAAAGTGGAGATGGACCCTGGAAGCAGGAACACGTTCGACCTTGGCTACTACAACCTCCTGTTGAAGAAGAGAGGGCTGTTCGAGTCGGATGCTGCCCTGACTTCCAACTCTGCTTCACTGCGAGAGGTCAATAAGATTGTCAAGGGCTCTGTGAAGGATTACTTTGCTAGGTTTGGCAAGTCCATGGAGAAAATGGGTCGCATTGGTGTCAAAACTGGCTCCGTTGGTGAAATCAGGAAGCAGTGTGGTCTTGTCAATAGCTAAAGAGTCTTTTTTTTTTTGTTATTTATTATTTTTTCTTTTTTGAAGATTGTGTTGTTAATTATTGTTGTTGTTGGGTTGTTAATTTATGATGTGCTGAAGAGTGGTGGGTTTTGCCGTTTTTGAGAATTTTTATTCAATTGTTAGTGCTGTAATAATGAGTTGGTTGGTTCTTTTGGTATGGGAGGATTTGTGAACACTTCCAAGGAATAATAAAACTTTGTTAACATTTTAACTTGCTCATCATTTGTTTGTCGGACACATCAGCGACGGATCCAGAACAGGTTAGAGCACTGGGCCACATTTCAAAAGTGGTGAAGGGGACTGGACCGTAACCCTATAAACATTTAAATATATACCCAAAATCGAAAATTTACAAACACTATATGAGTTTTGAATTCGGAGAGGACTGGGTCGTGGCCTGGGCGGCCCCTAGATCCACCGCTGGGACACATTATGGTTTCATTTCACGTTCTGTTTACCCCTACTAATACTATTTTGTCCTTTATATACCTTAAGTACATGAACCAATTTTATTAAGTTCTGGTTTGTTTGATAGGATAATTGGACAACTTGTCGGCATTGACATGGCCAGGATAATAGTTCAATGGAAGATAATCAAACGTAATGTGTGTTCCGATGATGAAGATATTGTCTTGATAAGAGAGAATTCATGGTTCAAAACTTGCTAAGTCCACTTTGAAAATTAGTTATATTTAATGTGTATTCATATTTCAAGTGGGGATCGTGCGAAAAAATTATTAAGTGAATGACGATGGGAAATTATTTATTGGCCTTTTTAAGTTAGATGAAACGATTAAGGTATGTGAATAGGAGGAATTTTACAATGTTATATAGTATTGGTGCTATACGTTTTTGTTTTTATGGTACAATTTGAAATTGTACATTTAAATATTATGATACAACTTTAGATTGTACATATACTTTATGTACAAATTCTTTAATGGTACAAGTTGAACTTGTTGTGATGGTACAACTTCAAGTTGTAAAGTTGTATCATAACATAATGATACAAATTCCTTTATGGTACAACCTAAACTTATACATTTAATGTTATGGTACAACTTCAAGTTATACATTAAAGCACCAATACTATATAGCATAGTAGAAGTGTTCGTTGCAAATGAGTCAAATTGCTCAGGAGCATCTCGGCGTTCAGTTCAAAAAAACTCGTTTGGTACTCAACTTATTTATTAACGAGCTGAGTTTGAAATGAGCCTTTTTTGGCTAGCAAGCTCGACTCAGTGACTTGTTGGACTCAACTCATGAGCTAGCTCGTTTTGAGCTATGAGATGGCTCGATAGTATGGCTAGCGAGCAACCTCAACTTACAACTTATGAGAGCATCGATTAATAGCTTGTCGTCGTCTTGTTAATAACTAATATAATGAACTTTTAGATTATATATCTCACCACATATGATGTTTAAAAATCTGAGCGCATGATCAAACATCTATCATTTATAATTTAAAAGATTAATTATGTATCATAGATTGCTCATATACTAATTACAATTAAATAATATTATATAAACAATTAAAAAATATGAACTAAATTATACAATATCTTAGCTCTCTCGAGAACCAATTGATGATAAGCCAAACTCGAGTAGATCTTCTGAGCTCATTAATGAGCCAAGTTCGAGTCGAGCTCGAGTCAAACACATGCCAAAATTTTAGTAAACAAGTCAAGTTCGAGCTCGAATCGTTTGTTAATGAGTCGAGTTCGGCCTCGAGTCAGAATTCAGTTTGACACGACTCATTTGCAACTCTAGAGTAGAATTGGAAATATTGAAAAGAATAACTCAAATGGGATCGAATACATTTAGAAATAAAATTGAAAGGAAAAATCATAAAATAAAATTATTGAAAAGTTTGTTATTTGTTCAACGGGATGCATTAACTACTACAAAGAAATCTCAATGGTAGATATCCACATCAACTTGATCCACAATAGGTTGTCAACCCAAGGGTCGACCAATTGTGTTATTTTTTTTATTTGGTTTGCGAAATACGCATATTTTCCGATTTTCCTTTTCGCCTAACTCAATCTTTGGAATCCTAAGTTGAACATTTGAATATTGATGTTATATAAGTGTGTGTGAATTTTCATCACTATATGTTGGATCTAAGTACGACATGTTATTTTGGTGTAATTTTATATGTTATAACTCATATGTTAGATGAGATTTGATATAACTTATCAGGATTAGTATAATATAATGACTCTTTCCATATCTCCGGACTAATATAATGACTCTCTCAAGTACTTCCCAAATATCTAACATATAATGACTCTTCCCAATTATCGGATTAGCAGCAATGTGGATGGCTGTCTGATTGTCACAGTAAATAATAGTGGGAGCATCACAAGTAACTCTCATATCACGCAGAAGAGCACGAAGCTAGATGACTTCGCTGACAGTACTAGCCATGACCCTATACTTAGCTTCGATCGAGGAGCGAGCAACCACAGTCTGCTTCTTGGTGCGCCAAGAGACAGGGGCACCACCAAGAGTAACAAAATACCGAGTCGTCAGACGACGAGTATAATGACATCCACCCCAGTCAGCATCACAGTAGGTAGTTAACTGAAGAGGACCACACAAAGGAAGAAGGATGCCTTGACCCGGGGCATTCTTAAGATACCGAAGAACACGTTCAGCCCCGCAACATGGGCTGAGGTAGGGGCATGCACATACCAACTGAGAATATTGACGGCGTAGACGATATCCGGATGAGTGACTGTGAGGTACTGGAGTCGTCCAACAAATCGACGAAAGGCGGTGGCATCATCCGCAGACACTAAATCATCGTCTGCCCCAGGCCGAGTCAACTAATGATGATGCTCAATGGGCAAAACCCTCGGGCGGCCACTATAGAGGTCACTATCACGCAGGAGATCCAACGTGTATTTGCGCTAACAAAGTGCTATACCATCATGCGAACGAGCTACCTCGATGTCGAGGAAGTACTTGCTGAATGAAGAGCATCCAAACTACTGAATGAAGCCAAATCATCACCGGAAAGGATCACATTATCGACATAAATAACGGAAACAATATAGGTGCCTTGATGACGGTGAAGAGCATCCAAGTTCTTAACACCAAACTGCTGATGAAGAGCATCCTTAACCTGCTGAATGAAGCCAAATCATCACCGGAAAGGATCACATTATCGACATAAATAACGGAAACAATATAGGTGCCTTGATGACGATGAAGAAACAGAGAATAGTCTGCCCGGACCGACGAAAACCAAGGCCAGTGAGCGTGGTCGCGAACTTAGCGTACCAATTGTGTGAGGCATGCTTAAGCTCATAAATGGACTTGTGAAGACGACAGACTCGCGAGTCACATGGAGCCGCAAATCCCTGAGGAATCTGCATGTAAACTTCTTCATCGAGATCAGCATGCAGGAAAGCATTGTCAACATCGAGTTGATGAACAACCCACTCATGAACAGCAGCAACAGCAAGCAAATAGCAAATGTGGAAGTTGTGATGAAAAGTACATGCCTTATATAAGAAAATATGAAAGTCGTGATGAAAATGGCTACTTGATCAAATGACTTAATTGATTTAATTTGAAAGTAAATGACTTATAAACAAAATGTGGAAGTTATAGAAGGTTTAAACATACAAATTTAAAAGTTGAAAAACTTAATTGACCTGGTGTAAAAGTACATGCCTTATATAAGAAAATATGAAAGTTATGATGAAAATGGCTACTTGATCAAATGAAAGTATAAATCTGAAGTAACATATGTACTAATATCAGGAGATATTTCAAATTATCGTCAAAACTCAAACCGGCGACCATGAATGTCAAAGTGGATCGACAAGGTTTAGAGGAAATCATCATCATCAAGTTTAGTTTAATGTCAATGTGTGTTTAGACTTTAGTTCGAGTTAATGTTTATCTTTGTAGTCTCCAAATGCTAGCTTGCACATGTTGTCTTGTAGTGCAAAGCTTTTGCCTATTTAAACCCAAGTATGAATGAGAAACAACCAAGATTTTAGGGTTTCATTTTCCCCCAACTCAACTTTGTTGTTATGGTATAACGAATGGATTTGGTGGTGGTGCTGATTAGCGGCGCGGTTGGCGAATGGAAAGGAATTGTGGGTTTGGATTTGTGAGATTTGGGTAGGGAATAGATACAACGGAGATTGGAGGAAGAACTGTATTTTTTTTTTTTAGGGTTTATGATCTGAAAATTTCAGATCTTGGACACAGTCCTTATTTTGTGGGTGGAAAGTTTTTAGGGTTTTCTTGGATCTAGAGGCTCTGATACCATAAAAACAAAGTTGAGTTGGGGGTTGAGGAGTTGAAGAAGAAGAAGAGAAGAAGAAGAAGATCAAGATGGGATGCCAACTAGCCAAAGATGCAGTGGTATCACCAGTTGAAGAAGAAGAAGTTTTCATAGCTAGCTAGCCACAGATGCAGCAGCTTTTCAGAAGATGTTTGGGAAGTTAGCTAGCAAGATGCAGCAGCTTCACCATTTGAAGATTGAAGAGAAGTTAGCTAGCCAACAGTGCAGCAAGATTCTCAAGTTCAGACTGTATTCTCTCCAAGCTTGGTGTGCACATTCTGTGCTCACCCGCTTGCGGTGGGGTATCAGGAGATATTTCAAGTTATCGTCAAAACTCAAACCGGCGACCATGAATGTCAAAGTGGATCGACAAGGTTTAGAGGAAATCATCATCATCAAGTTTAGTTTAATGTCAATGTGTGTTTAGACTTTAGTTCGAGTTAATGTTTATCTTTGTAGTCTCCAAATGCTAGCTTGCACATGTTGTCTTGTAGTGCAAAGCTTTTGCCTATTTAAACCCAAGTATGAATGAGAAACAACCAAGATTTTAGGGTTTCATTTTCCCCCAACTCAACTTTGTTGTTAACTAACAAATTGCGAATTAGAAAGCTCGAACTCAGTCCATAATAAGGAATGCAGCACAATAACCGTTAAATTAACCATAGTTCATACC